TCTTACACTGCTTAATTAGGGATGGCTAGCGCAGATAGCCCTCGTTGTAGCTTTGCGCGAAATTCATTAAAAAACAAACAAACAAACCTTATCCTTAGATAAATATTAAAATTTTATTTCGAGTAACAATACATTTTATTGAAAATTTAAGAATCTATAAGTTAACTTATGCTGTTTATAGGAAACATAAATTGTAAACTACATTTACAGTTACTACTGAGGCCATTCATGAAAATTTAACGTGAATACACTACAAAATCTCCTCTATTCTGGCCATATACTTTATATCTTACTGAGTGCTATTATGCCTACAAAGTATGTTGATTTAAGTTTTTCATTTGTCTGTATTATCGTACAGAAAAAAAAAAATCTTGTATAAACTCAAACGTCCTCCAAAAGTAATTACAGTCTGTTACTTGTTGTATGAACAACAATTTAACGGCAAGGAATTAAGGAGAACAAGCAGTTAAAAAAAGAAAATAGAAAACAAACACATACGTCTGCTGAAAACGATTTCCGATGTACTACGTGTCGGTAGTAAACGTTTGTCGTTTTAGAGGATATCGTGCTGTAAGGATGTTCTGTAAGAAATCACTCCCTCCGTCGTTCCATGAAATATGAACTCCATAAGAGAAAAAAAAAATTACATAGCGAAACAAGGAATCGGGTTGCAGACATTCCTGGAAAACGCAATAGACGTACACGTGAAATATATATCAATAACTAAATAAGTAAATAAGAATACATGACAAGTATATAAACAACCTATCAAAATTATCAACCCACTCATGAAATAATATAATTTTATTAGATAAATAAACATGAAGTAAAAGGTCTAATTAAGTACATAATCTTGTCGAAACGTTGTACATTTATAATAAAGTTTTCTTTATTACCCATTCAAGTCGTCTCCAAACTTTTACTTACGATAAGGTTGTGGCGATCTAATATGAATGTTGTCATGAATAGGTAGTAACCTATACAATCACTTAAGTGTGATTATTAATTGGAATTATTATTACGTAACTGGGGACGAATTACTGACTAATTATATCATACGTTTCACCCTCCGGTGGGCAGAGCAAAAATAGTCTATTGTGTAGTATCGACTCGCAATCTGAGGGTCGCGGGTTCGAATCCCCGTCACACCAAACATGCTCGCCCTTTCAGCCGTGGGGGCGTTATAATGTGACGGTCAATCCCACTATTCGTTGGTAAAAAAGTAGCCCAAGAATTGGCGGTGGGTGGTGATGACTAGCTGCTTTCCCTCTAGTCTCACACTGCTAAATTAGGGACGGCTAGCGCAGATAGCCCTCGCGTAGCTTTGCGCGAAATTCAAAACAAACAAACAAACAGAGAGAACCATCCAAACCAGCCAACCATAAAAAAAAACCTGAGCCACAGAAAAAAAATCAACAACAACCGTACAGAAGGGAGGAAGAGGTCTACTTGAACCTGGCCCTCCCAGGTCGAAAATGACATAAATCCCGGAGAGAGGAAAGACATTCGCGCTTATATATAGAGATAAACACCTGACAAGCTGGAGACTTTTATTGTTTGTAGAGTTTTACTTGCGTGCAAACGTCGCCTTTATATTTAAGTGTTCTATATTCCTGATAATTTCGGTTCAAAACCAAAACATTAAAAGAAAAACAACAACAACAGTTTGTTTGTTTTCGAACAAAGCCACATTGCACTATGTGCTGTGTTCATCACGGAGAATCTAGTCCCGGATTTTAGTATTTTAAGTCTGTAGATTTATTGCTGTCCCAATGGGAGACGAAAATGAAAACACTAACATTGACAACAATATTATTTTTCTCAATGTCTGGTCAGTTATCAACCCCCCCAAAAAAAAGTCTAATTTTCACCAACCTTTATACTGTTACCAGTTAAAAATAAAGTTGTGAAAAACTCAATTTTCTTCTGGTAAGAGGTTATTGACACAAACGCCCATATTATTGCATTGTCCCAATTTCTTCACACACCGATATGTATTTTATTTTTTTTAACTTAAATTAAAAGTCTAAATTTAACGTGCCAGTACACAAGCGCACAACAGAGGCACGAGTTTGTTTTGAATGTCGCGCAAAGCTATACGAGGGCTATTTGCGCTGGCCGTCCCTAATTTAGTAGTGGAAGACTAGAGGGAAGGCAGCTAATCTTCTCTACCCACCATCACCTCTTAACCACCTTAACCTTAACCACCTGGCCATGCCGGGCCTAAAGGCACGAGCTACGTAACTGTCAATTTACTAACTTATTTTACATACTGTTCACCACGCTGGAATCCGTATATTGCATCTTATTAACTCATTTTTGTTTTCCCTAATACAACATTCAGGGAAGAGAATTAACATAAGAAACTAAAACTAATGAAAATGCGTGTGTTATTCTTACAATACATATAGGGTCCCAGCAGTAATTTTCAGAGGTCGTAAGTTATTAAGAATTCTGCAATCAACATTCATGGACCTATAAAATAATTGGTGCGTAAAGAATTTCAATAAATGGTTTTAAAAATCCAACGGAACTAAGGTAATAAGTTTGAATATTCCAGTGAAGATTACTTTTAGAGCGTACTTTTGTAACAGCTTTTATTGTTGGGCGGATTTCTATTCAGATTACAGTAAAAAGGAATATGTGAAGTTGAATTCACTTAATGATACAGAATGCGTTTTTTTTTAATACAAGTTATACCAAAATAACAATTTTCAAGGCAATTAACGATAGGCTTAACTTCACAATTAACACTAAACTATCAGTCACTTACTCACTTCTATTTTGTATCTCTATTGATCCGTTAAAAATATAAACTCAAAATTTGCAATAGTTCTGAACTGTTTGTTTCAATAACCAACAATAACTTCCTACTCTCGCCCAACATACATTAACATTAAGAAAATTCCAGACAGTAAACCCACTTCCTCATCACGTGAAATCAACATTACTTCTGGGAAAACACTAATAATGAAAATATCTAAATTAAAAACAACAACAAGATAAACTGTAATACTACCCATTCTTAAGACTGTCAAGTTCCTTGAACAATCCTATTAGAAAATAATAATAACAAAAAAATGTTACGTTAAACTTAAACTTTCGAGTATCTCTTGACAATTAACAGTAATGTTTATTAATATAACATTAAAATAATTAAATTAATACAGACATCACAATAATCAAGTCATTAATTACATGTGTAACATAAAATATTTCTTTACTCATTTACTGTCCCTAACTTACCTATTCACGAAATCTTTTTTTGGAGGTTTACTTTTCCGTAGCTTTTTATATAAAGATAGGAGAATCTATTGTTCTTTATTATCATTTGTCATCTTGTTATTAGGGGGAATTCTCTTCAGGCAGATGGTCGAGGGTGATACATTGGAAGTGATCTCGACAGGTGGTCGTACTTCAGGCGGTCTTTCTCGAAGCTAATCCGTTGGCCAAGATAATGAACTTGGCTTGAACTACCAACTGATATTAGGTTAATATCTTTCAGTATTCTGCTGTTGCACTTCAGGTTGGTTGTTATCATTATCATGTGGTTCCATCCTTGCTTTTATTGGAAATTCAACCTCTGGTGTTGCAACTGTTGCGTAATGCCTAGGGAATTTCTGTTCACAACCTGTGACACTGTTTGAAGCAAGTCTAATCTCACATCTGTGTCTTCACATGTAGTCTAATCCCAGTGTGAACTCTTCCTCTACGTCAGTTACCCATAAATCATGTTCAGTATAGAAGTTTCTCATCATGAGGATGATTTTTTAAATTTCCTCTTACTGGAATTTTATTAACATTTGCTGTTGAAATATATCCATCTTGTTTCATCTCTGGAAGTAACTTTCCACATTTCATGGCTCAGGTCCAATAATGATAACCAAATAACCAGTGTCACTCACCATGTTGAAAGTCTTTCCATAAATTAATTCACTGACTTGTGGACTGGTTTCTTTCAGTAATGCTCTTCGTATCTTAATTGAGTTGATGCTTCCATGCTACTTGATGTGACAATTTCTGGATGGCAATATTAGTTGTTTACCTGCGACGTTATTTGATTCAAGTTCTATCGCCAACTGAAAGGCTTCCTTTAAAAATGTACATTCATTTTGCTTTGTCCTAGTTCACATATCATCATCCACTATGCCATCTATGAATTGGTCGAAAAAACAAATCTACCATTTCATGTGGAACATCTGGTTAAGATAATTGGGTATGTATTTCCATCTTCCACATTTTCCAGAAGTTCTACTGAGGCCTCGTCCTTTCTCTATACTTTGCTTTATAAACTTCCTTTCGAGTTACTACTTTAAATGTATTTGAAAAGGCGGCCACCATTGCCTGATAGTTGCTAGGGCTCTCTATTGGAAAGTTTCTTAATATTATGGAATTTGCTACTCTTAAACGAGCAGCAAAATGAATAACATGCTATTATCTTTTCCATCTATTCACCTTGGACATTATTTCGACCCTGATAAGCTTCCCATTCGACTTCTCCATTACAGTATATTTGTTTCTCAGTGTGCAAAGTTATTTGACATGATGAAGTAATGGTATATCCGGAATAGTGCAGGAATGTCCTGCAGTCACAGGTAACACAATAGTAGCGATAATAGATGTAGACCAAACTCCTAGTGCATATGTTATACGTAATGGTATTTCTGGTCGAAATTCTTGAGTGAATGCAAAGAGAGATGTGACTGGTTTGATCCTTGGATTTTCAAAATTGTAAATACTTCTTTCAAATGTTGCATCTTTACATTGGTATTATTTTGTACTTCGTTGATCTTGTTGCAATCCTTCTACATTTTACTGATGTGCTTTCGCACTTCTTTGATTTTTTCTATTATAATCCTCCTATAACTTCAGTATGTATATTTTCTATCTTGCGTTCGATCAAACTGACCGAGATTCATAATTCTTATATAAATCTCACGCATCATTTTTCTACTTCTTCACTTAAGTTCCTGTCTCTTTCTTTTATATGTTACTAAAAAAGATGTGAAAACCAAAACATATATATATATATCTATACAATATGTAAACATTATCTAAGCAGTTAGTTAAATATTAACATCAAAAAGGAAGAACTGCGTTACAAACAGTAAGACCAAACCTAAGATGAAATAAAACATTTATAACATAAAACAATCCTGAAAACAAACCTCTGCACAATAAAACAAAGTCAAAGTCACCAGGTTACAAGCTATAATGTGGGTATAAGATGTGTTCTGGTTTTTGGTGGTGACTTTGGAAGTGGGACCCACATAGCAGCGGGGATACATCCTCTAGTAGTCTTAACCTCCGTTCGCGAAGCCTCACATGTAAAGAAAAAGAATAACAGGAGAGTAAAAATAAGGGGAAAAAAAGATAAGGAAGCAGGATGTGGGTATTTAAGGTCACAATGTTCCACATTTATATCACCCTTCACTGCCTGCCTACATCTGTGACTTCTCTCAGAATAAAATAAGTGAAGAATAAATAAGAAAAAGAGAAAGAAAAAAAATCCTGCTGTTGGGGTGGCGAATAAGACAACATTAGTTCCTGAAGCTGGTGTTCCAACCTCCATCATGGTAGTAAAAGCTCACGTTGACATGGTAATATTAGTAACACAGCAGAAAAAACAAAAAGAAACCAAGAGCACCAACATCTTGCTCCCTTATATTATTTATGTTTTCTTGTTTTACTTTCTTATTATTTTTTTCTATACATATGAGGCTTAGCGAACGGAGGTTAAGACTGTTAGAGGGTGTATTCCCACTACCTATGTGGGTCCTACTTTCGCAGTCACCTTCAAAAACTATGAGACATCTTATATCCCATATTATAGTCTGTGCTCTAGTGTCTTTGACTTTGTTTTCTTGTATAGCGTTTTTGTTTCAGTCTTGTTTTGTATTATAAATATGTTATATATATACTACAGCCATATTACACAAACAAGTTTAATTTTTGAATTACTACGCAGAGTATTTCAGAATATTTGAAACTCAAACTCAGGTATAAATTCAATTACCGTTCCCATTTTTATACGTACTCTAATTAATATTTTTCTAATTTTAGTTTTAGTATATTTGGGTGATGTGCAGTGATTTATATTTAGGTTACGAATTCGTAAGCCACTAATTCAGTACAGTTTTTGATAGACTACATATAATGTTGTTGTGCTGGTTTAATATCATTGATTTTATTCTTAAAATATATAGAACTTATTACTAAATATGTATTGTAAAAAGTATAAAACCAACGGAAAACCTTAACCTGTTCCTTTCGTGTTGATAAGTTCTATTCGCTCTCTTAGTGACTATATATTTTTTAACTTTGACGTTAGAGTATTTGATTTTTGAAAAAGAAATGTTAATTTCAGGAAATTTAACAATGTTTTGTGTTAAGACCAGACAGTACGAGATATTTTTTTTTAAATTCTTAAACATAATTTTGTTTTCTTATTTCTAGATGAGTTTGAATAAACCTGAATTAAATTTGCTCGTCCCTGTACACGTTATATTACTAATTGAAAGCCAACCAATTGGAAAGTAAGTTATTTTATTTCACCTGCTTCGTAGAAAAATGTAAAATTCTATTTCTGGACGCGAATGACCTAGATTGAGTTAATTTTACGTTTTAGAACTTTATATGTCGGCCCCTTCAATTATGTGTGCCTCCACGATCTTTAATAACAAGGTTCCGCATGTCTATACTATTTTATATACTATTTTATTAGTAGAAGGAAAAGTCCATTGATATTGCAGAGTACAACTAATACCAGGGCGGTAATCCAAAGACAGAAACTCTACCGACACTGCACTAAGAGATTCAACTAAACAGTAAGTGCAACATATTCTAAGCTTAACAAATGTCATTAATTTTTTAAAAAGTAACTTTATTAAATATGCATTTCTAAACAGTCCAACAAAATATGCTTCAAGATTAAGGAATATATATCAATGTTAGTCTTTTAGGTTTAAACTCCTGTTTAAGAGTTTTAAAACAATTATTTAATGTGTGTGTGATTTTTATACCAGTGAATCCATGGGTTGTGAACATACTAAAAGTACGTACACAGAGTTTAGTATTTGCAATTATTAAGATTAAATTTCATTTTATATCGAACAATGTAGTGATAGTGTACTAATATTAGTTAGGTTTAATTGTATTAATTTTACCATAGATGCTGTTGAAGCCAATCATTAACTTGAAATCACTTAAGTTAGATCACAGTGTTTTATTTATAGATGATATTGTAATTTTTTTGTTGGATACTTTCTAGTTGGTAAGACTTTGCAGTACAGTTTGGATAATAAAAAGTCTGCCAGTATAAGTTCATTTTCTGTAAAAGGAACTCTAGAACTAAAGATCAGTGTGGTGATTTTCATAAAAATATTACTAATACTTATATCCCTTTATAATAGAAAATAGAAATTATAATGTTTTCTTACCTCCTATAATTTCTAGGAATAAATGCACTCACGTTACTATACAAGCATATATAATCTCTAAATTAAGAATTACTACAATATTCCAAATAAAGTTTTAACCTTTTTCCAATAGCCTGAAAAGTTGATACTTTATATATATATAAGACAGGAGTATATATGGTTGGGCTAAGCCTTGTGGTATGATTGTGGAAACAAACCTAAATTAACCCACTCCATATTACCAGTAAATATCTATTACTTAATTATATGTTTAATGATAAGTAATGAAAAGGCTAAAGATTTAAAGCCTTTTCTAAGAACAATAACAGCAAAACACATATCGCTGTATACGGCTTATCAAATATACCGCCACCAGTGGTTCAACAGTAAGTTAATGAACTCGTAGCGCTAATAATATTCCATTCTATAGCTTTGTGCTTTATTATAAATAAACAAAATGCAAATCAAATATGCGTTAATACTCCGTATTCCCGTTTTTGTCAATATTTCTATTCAAATAAATCTAATGTTTTAGATATGTGTTTATGAATAATTCCAAAAACACATATAAAGAGCAGACTCGTTTCGAAAATCCTTAAAAATATTTTGCTAATTGAAAAGGAAGAGACATTATATAGAATTTACAAAGTTTCGTCAATAAAAAACGCATAGATAGTTAAATATGTTTTTCCCAAGATTGTAAATTAGCATTTTCAAACATATTTCTAGTCGTCAATGGTGAGGCATTATATCTGTCTACAACATTAATAATGGTAGTATTATAGCAACAGCCCTTGTAAACACATTTTTCATTCATAAACATATTACTATCATCACAAATATTAGTTAGAAAGGTAGCGCATCAGTTAGACGGAAATGAATAAAGCAAATAATGACAGAATTTAAAATTCTAGTCCCCAGGTGGGTCAGCGGTAAGTTTACGAACTTACAATGTAAACATCCGGGATTCGATTCTACGCGGTGAAAACAGTAGATAGCCCAATGTGGCTTTGCACTAAAACTACCACAAATAAAAATATAGCATCTCATATTACATTACGTGTAGAACGTGCTTTTGTATCTTTTAAGTTTCACAATATATTTATATTAGGCAGGAATATAAAATGACACTCAACTCTGTTACTGGTCAGCTAATCTTTCTGGCTGAGAGTAATGCCAACAGTTAACAAAGCCTAAATTCCAGCGTTTAGTTAGGTAGAGACTACAGATAGATTCTACTCAATTTTTCAATCGTTAACTTACATATTTTCTTCTCTGTTCATGAAATCTTGTTTTGTTTTATTGAGCTCAATTAATTTGGATTCTTTTTGTCTTTCAGATTTATCCAGATGTTTAATTCCACTGAAGTGTTAGTTGTTGGGGAACATGACCAATTGAGTCAAGCTGTGGACCAGAAACTTAGTAAACAGAAGATAATACAAACGAAGAGCTTTTTATATCTGCTTGCAAATTTTAAAAAAGTTAGGAACAGGTTTGTATTTTGGATTTTGGGGTTTCCGGGTTTAGGGGTACTTTGTGCTCTGAGTTCTGGTTTCTTTTTCGCCAGCGGTGCCGTCCTGGTGAAGCTGCTGAAACAGATAAGCCCAATAGAGATATTTTTAGTACGTTGTATAGGACAGTTGGTAGTTTGCACTCCCATTGCAATCTATACAAAGAGTTCTGTGTTCGGAGTGAAAGGTGAACGTTCTTACTTGTTGCTGCGAGCAATCTTATCAGGAATATCTGGAAATTGCATATACTTATCTTACCGTTTTTTACCATTAGGTGATGCTTCGACAATTGTTCTCAGCGCCCCTATCTTTGCCACAATTTTTGCTAAAGTATTCCTGAAGGAAGCTTGTGGTATTATCAACACCATTTTGGTTCTAATGACATTAGGAGGTGTCTTACTCGTTGCAAAACCAGCATTCCTGACTGGAAGCTCTATCTCGACCAGTCACATTGTGGGATCAATTATAGCTTTTACCGCTTGCATTCTCGACGGTTTGTGGTTCGTTGCAAACAGAAAGCTGCAGAAGACTCATTTTTCTGTCATTATTATAGTTTACTCAATAGTCGTCATCATCTTGGATACAGTAATTCTTGCTTTTCTGGACGGGTTTAACCTTCGTGTTTGTGGAAACGATGGCATCTACTTAGTTGGTGTGGCTTTTTGTGGCATCGGAGGACAACTTTTAATAACAGCTGCACTTAAACTGGAAAATGTAGGCCCAATTTCAATAGCTAGAACAATTGATATAGTTCTAGCATTTATTTTTCAGGTTACAACGACTGGTGAAAAGGTCACTTGGTCAAGTGTTCTCGGAGCCATTCTAGTGAGCGCATGCGCTGTTTTAACAGCTGTAAAAAGATCTAGGCTTATAAAGTGTGACAATGTTTCACCAAATAAAAACAATACTATTTCCTGTTCATGTTGGAATAAAATCTCTATAAGTTGAAAAATTAGAAAAACAACAAAAGATAGTGGTTGCAAAAAAAGCTTATTTTTATGCTTTACTTGAAAAAAATGAATAAATTTAAATTCTTTATTGTATATAATTATTTATTTGACGAATTTAAAGAAATATTTAATGAACGATTGGTCAGTTATATGATCTTATCTAAAAGTCATCAAAGCTTTGGATAGGGTAATGAAAGAGTTTGTTGCCTATACAATTTTGAAATAAAAAATGTGTTATTGTTTTTTTTTATCTTAACTACTCACGAAGTTTTAGTATTGTGGTTGGGTTAAATACCCCTTGTATTTTAAGCTTAATTTTTGTCTGGTGTGTCAATAAAAAGTTTGTTAATATTATTTACCTAGATTTTTAAAACTATTTCTTTATGTTTAAAAATTTATAAGCGTATAAACAAATTATATCTGTAATCCGTTTTCATTCTTTTATCTTCAAATACATTGATTAATTATATTTTTACTGATATGAAAGACGTCAAGTTCACATTATGTAAAAAATCCATACCATAACTGTTTGTGACTACAGTAATTAATTATTAGTTTAGCTTGGTGTGTGGTTAAGCACCTAATAAAGTTTCAACTAAGATAACTGGTCCTTGGAAAATCTGAAAGGAAATAAGAAATGGTATACATATAGTTGCAAAAAAAAGAAGAAGCCAGTGTGATCTATTGTCTATGGTTCGTGTACCGTTGTCGCACAGAAAAAAAAATGCGATCTGCATTTTGAGTACATTATATGAGTGACGGTCAAATCCCACTATTCAATTAGAGTAGGCCTAAGAATTGGCGATGAATGCTAGTTGCCATCTCTCTAGTCTATCAGTTCAAAACTAAGAACGGTTAGTGTAGAATAACATTGTGTAGTTTGTTCAAATATCAGAAACAAATCCAAACTACAAAAAAGTAAATTTGACTAGATCCGAATTGTCGTGAGTCCAGGTCGGTCTAGGGTAAGGATGTTTAGGTAATGATGTACTTTTAATGCTATTCCTAGACGATGCTAAATACGTGAAATTTCTGTTTATCTCATATTTTTTCTTTTCTTTTTGTACTTTTCAAGTTTGTTTGTTTTTGAAGTTAAGTACAAAGCCACACAAGGGGCTATCTGTACTCTGCCCACCACGGGTATTGATCGAAACCCGATTTCTAGCGTTGTAAGTCCGCAGACATACCGCTGTGCAACTGGGGAGGGGGGCTAATGTTCAAGGCCGAAAATTATCCTCACGTATTATCTAGATTGTAATAAATAAGACGTCTTGTCGAGTGAAATCTAATACATAGCTTTATAATGCAATATCATCATATGAATTTTGTTATCTTTATGAATTTATTACGTTCAAATTACAATATAGAAAGTAAGTAGAAGAAAAACAAACGACATGGATATTAGAACTAGTTATATAAATATATTATCTAATTTCTTAAAAATGGGGTACCTGTTTGTTAATAAACCCTGTTTGTTGAGGGAGGAGAATTTTTTTAGTTTTGGAAGATATCAAATTGAAGTTTATACAGGTAATTATTTGAAACACGAAGGGAGGAAAAAAATGTAATACCAAACACCAAGTCACAATGAAATTAATTGGAGTGTTTTCACATTTACATAAAAAAAAATCCAAAAATCCAAAATAGGTCCAGCAGAAACAAAGCGCTGGGTTCATATAGACATATAAACTGAGGCCACTTACGTCGCCAGGTTATAACTCGGTAGTTCATAACTGTACTCCAAGAACCTGTTAACCATCTTTGTTTGATGAAAATAAAGATCTGGTGTTTAACACTACTAAACAAACTATTGTTTTTCTCGCCTCCTGTGTAAAATATTTGTGAATATTAAGTATAAAATATTAACAAAAAAAGAGACTTTTTCTCTTAAATGTAAGCCGTTTCTGTTATTGCTATTGTGTTTACTAGTACTAATAAAACCTTTTAATATTCCATCTTGTGTGTAAACGGTTATTAATTTTTGTTAAAGTTTGAAAATATTTTTAGACTTCGCTAACTGTAATACCAGAATAACTCAAACACTTATGTCGTACTGATTTGTAACCAATCAAGTGCAACTACCATTTGACATTAATATTTATTTTGTTTATAGCTGGTTTATGTTTACCTGATTCGTTTCTAAATATAATTTGAATAATTACATCAAGTTTAGCTCTTGCCAGTACTCTCAATTATCTGAATATATATCCAAACAGAATATTTTTTCAGATATATTTTTAGAACAAAGATTCTATTCATATTTTCACACTGAAGTTATTTTTGGTGTTTTTCAGGTGTTATGAAACTTTAATTATTTAAACACCTATATATAAATTTATGTGGTGTTTTGCGTATCAATGTCATGATATAAAAGACTGTTTGGTTTAAATATTAGTGATTAATTTATATTTGTGAGTAAATATTTTATTATTTTTACGATTTGTTATAACAAGAGTTAAAAGCAGACGATTGTAGGTTTTGTTAATAACTAATTGGTGTCGAGAATATAGAAAGTGGCCAGACACTATGTAATAAAGAAATAGCGTAAGACGAGCGGGAAGCAGCAGACGGACAGTATTAGACAGATAACAGCAGAATAGAAGTTAAGAACTGTAGATGTGATAGACCTAACGTTTAGGCCCGGCATGGCCAGGTGGTTAGGACGCTCGACTCGCAATCTGAGGGTCGCGGGTTCGCATCCCCATCCCACCAAACATGCTCGCCCTTTCAGCCGTGGGGGCGTTATAATGTGGCGGTCAATCCCACTATTCGTTGGTAAAAGAGTAGCCCAAGAGTTGGCGGTGGGTGGTGATGACTAGCTGCCTTCCCTCTAGTCTTACACTGCTAAATTAGGGACGGCTAGCGCAGATAGCCCTCGTGTAGCTTTGCGCGAAATTCAAAAACAAACAAACCTAACGTTTAATATGTTAAAGTGAAAATAACAATATAAAAAAAATATAAGAAGGATAATTTTATACCGTCAAAGCGTGGTTCTAAAGTAATTGTATCAGCCTGGGTACACTTTGACAAAAGGAATAGAGGATCTTCAGAAGAAAGAAGACCAAACGATTTACGGTAACTTGCGCCACAACTGTAAGTGAATCACACACAGAATACTAGTACGATAGTAATATAGAGAAGATAGTTCGACTTGTCAACTGAAATTATAAAGTAATTGAATAGGCCTAAGTGGACTTTTGACAAGAAGAAGATAACTATACATAAATAGTGTTTATGATATGCCTGTAATCTCTATAGTGTGAAGACTTTGTAGTTCACAATTTCTTGTCCTTGATTGGTGAAGTATTTCGCATTTCCGGAAAGATTAAAAGCATTGTTTGGAAATTATATTGTTTCCGATATTGACAATACTCTTGTGCTATGAAAGCGGTTTATAATAACGATAATATCTGTAAAGAGGCATACACGGAAAACCTAATCTTCATGCACGCATTCAGTTATATTTACTTAAACAATAAACTCTATTTTCTTAAGTAAATATCCTATTAAAACTATAATGTTTGTATAAATAACGAACACACTTTTTCACCTGTTTGTATATGAACAAGTTTTCTTCAGTTTGCAGTCTCTAAAGTATTATTATTTGGCAAAGTATTTAACAAGCTTATATGCACATAACAGTATAAGATAATATAAAAAACAAAAATGTATTTTAAGAAGATTAACATGCTTATGGATTATTTTAGTTAAGATTTTCGCAAATTTTTGAGCTTTAAAAGTTGTTTCAATAAACGAACATCATTATATACATGCTGAATTATGTGAAATAGTACAAAGGTAAATTCAGTTCTAACTTCTGAATGTATTTAGTTTACATGGTATTAAATAGCATAGAGATGAATTAATGCTAATAATCGATAATGGAGTACTAGTCTGAAAACTTTTGCATGTAGTTCAGTGACATAGGTAGAAGAAAAAATAATTGATTGGCGAAATCATAAAGGGATTTTGGGGACATTCCCTCTCGGAACAATTTTGTAACTTTTTTCTGAAATTGGTGAACTTTTGTGGTCCTTACACCTTTTAGATATATTATATATATGGGTGCAATTTCTAATCTCACCCCTCCTTCTTGTCTACGCGCATGCGATTATTAAGCTTCTGTTTCTATTTTCAAATACTTGTGAATTCATACAGAAACTACAAAAATAGACAGACGATGCTGTTTTTCTCAATCGAGAAATTTGAGATATTTCGTTTAAATATTATGTATTCATTATTTAATAATATAATCTATTAAACTCAGTTATGATCTGTAGACAATAATGACCAGAAGTTCTTCAACTCTAAGAGTTCGTTGACCAAGAAGCACAGAAAAAAAATCAAACTGGTCCCTTAGAAAAACTGAATACGCGTGAGTTGATTACATGTTCAGAAATTTTTTGTCTGAAACGCCTGGTCGTTGAACCAATATAGTATTTAGAACATAAAAAACAAATATATTTGTAGGCAACTAAGGATTTTTGTAATTTCAGAACCTTGACTTTAAGAGGAAAGAAACATCGGAGTTGTTTGAATTTCGCGCAAAGCTACACGAAGGCTATTTGCGCTATCCGTCCTTAATTTTGAACAGACAGACTAGAGGAAAAGCAGCTAATCAATACTACCCACCGCCAACTCTTGGACTACTCTTTGCCCACGAATAGTGGGATTGACCGTCACTTTATAAGGCCCCATGAATAAAAGGGCTAGCATGTTAGAAAACGGTTTTCGAACCCGTGACCTTTAGATTGCAAGTCGAGTGCTCTAACCACCAGGCCATGTCAGGCCAAGACGAACAAAAAAGAACGTCTAAAAACAGATTTTTCGTGTAGTTCAAGATACGCAGAGCTGAAAATTTTGAAAATTTGAAAT